TGCCACTGACTACATTCCTTATGCTGTGCCTTTTATTCTTGTGATTATTCATTCTGTAACTGGAGGTTTGTACCCACCACTGCCTTTCACCCATTTTGCCCATCCTCCCACCCCTTCCTTCTGGCAACCCCCAGTTTGTTCTCTGTATTTATAGGTCTGATTCTGCTTTTTGTTTATTCATTTGTTTTTTTAGATTTCACATGTAAATGAAATCATATGGTATTTGTTTTTTGCAGTCTGGCTTATTTCACTTAGCATAATACCCTCTAGGTCTATTCATGTTGTCACAAATGGTAATAGCTCATCCTCTTTATGGCTGCATAATATTTGTGTGTGTGTGTGTGTGTGTACATCTTCCTTATTCATTTGTCTGTCAGTAGACATTTAGGTTGCTTCCTTATCTTGGCTCTCGTAAATAATGTAGCAATAAACATAGAGGTGCATGTATCTTTTCAAATTAGTGTTCTCTCTCTTTTTTGTTTTATAGTTTATTGTCAAGTTGGTTACATATAACACCCAGTGCTCATCCCAACTAGTGCCCTCCTCCATCTTTGGGTAAATACCCAGCAATGGAATTACTGGACCATATGACAATTCTATTTTTAATCTTTTGAGGAACCTCCATACTGTTTTCCACAGTGGCTGCAGCAGTTTGCGTTCCCACCAACAGTGCATGAGGGTTCCCTTTTCTGCGTATCCTCACCAACACTTGTTATTTCTTGTCTTTTTGATAACTAGCCATTGTGACTGGTGTGATATGATGTCTCACTGTGGTTCTGATTTGCGTTTCCCTCATGATTAGTGATATTGAGCATCTTTTCATATGTCTGTTGGCCACCTGTGTATATACTTTAGAAAAATGTTTATTTGGGTCTTCTCATTTTTAATTGAATTGTTTGTTTTTTTTACTATTAAACTGTATAAATTCTTCATATATTTTGGATATTAATCCCTTACTGGATATATCATTTACAAATATCTTCTTCCATTCATTAGGTTGCTTGTTCTTTTTTTTTTTTTTTGATGCTTTCCTTCACTGTACAAACAGTACATTTATTTTGATGTAGTCCCAATAATTTATTTTTGCTTTTGTTTTTCTTGCCTGAGGAGACATATCTAGAAAAATGTTGCCACAGCCATGTCAGGGATATTATTTACTTTTGTTTTCTTCTATGATTTTTATGGTTTTCAATTAGGAAACCATAAAACTTCCATTTCTAAGCTTCCAAATTTAGGTCTTTAATCCATTTTGAATTTATTTTTGTGTACAGTCTTAGAAAGTGGTCCAGTTTCATTCTTTTGCATGTAGTTGTCCAGTTTTCCCAGCATCATTATAAATGTCCCATTTTTTAAATCAAAAGCTAAATATATTTTATTTACATAATAAAATATGAAAAATATATAGGGTTACTATTTCTGAAAGCCTGACTATTCATTGACAAAGAAAGATATAATTTCATGGGCACCTGGGTGGCTCTGTTGGTTAAACATCCAATTTTGGCTCAGGTCATGATCTTGCGGTTTGTGGGCTCAAGCCCTGCACTGGGCTCTGTGCTGGTGAATGGAGCCTGCTTGTGACTCTCTCTCCCTCTCTGTCCGTTTTCCACTAGTGCTCTCTCTCAAAATACATAAAAATAAAAAGTTAAAAAAAAGATAATTTCAAAATGTCAATAAACTGCATGTTTGTCTGTTCTGATGTCATCTTTTCTCACCTGTCTTCAAAGTAAAAAACAAATATTCACAAAGCTTACAAGGACCTGATTAAAGTTATAAAATAAAAATATTGTAACAGAAAGAGAGGCATAGTATGAAGGGCTTATTCTTCAATTAAACTCACATACCTAACACATAAAAAAACCAATCCTTTTTTTTTAAAGTTTATTTATTTTTGAGAGAAAGCTCAGACGAGTGGGGAGGGGCAAAAAGAGGGAGACAGAGGATATGAAACAGGCTCTGCACTGACAGAAGAGAGCCTGATACAGGGCTTAAATTCAGGAACCATGAGATTATGACATGAGCCGAAATTGGATGCTTAACCAACCAAGTGAGCCACCTAGTACCCCCCAAAGTCAAACTTCTTAACAAGGCATTCAGTTAAAATCCCTCCCAATCTGGCCTTAGCGTCTCCCCAGACTTACTTTTTCTCATTCCAGTTATAGCAGAATATTGGAACTGCCTGTCTCCAGGTCTCTGGTTACAATTTAAAAGTCTGTCAGGAATATCCTAATGTACTTGTTTTATTTTGAAATTTTCCTCCATCTTTAGGTTCATCTCAAATTACTTCTCTCATCCTTGTAATCAGAATTAATCATTTTAACCTCTATAATCCCAGATACATACCTGAATTATACTAGTTCTTTCATTTAACAATATACACTGAGTTGCCTAATATGAGCCAGGCAATGCTCTAAGGCTGAGACTACCAAGGTAAATTAGACCGACAAGGAACTTAATATTAGTACTCATCATAGTCTAACTTGTATTGTACTTATTTATTTAAACACCCATTCTTCCACCAATTTGGGAGATGATGAAGTCAGGTCCACATTTCTTTAAAGAACAATTTGCCCACAGTGAGCACCTACCATATTATCTTTAGAATGGCAGCAAATGGTTTTAAGATCTGGCTTTGGGGGTGCCTGGGTGGCTCAGTCAGTTAAGAGTCTGACCTGATTTCAGCTCAGGTCATGATCTCACAGTTCATGATCTCTGCACTGACAGCACGGAGCCTGCCTAACATTCTGTCTCTTCCTCTCTGCCCCTCCCCTGTTTGTACTCTCTCGTTCTCAAAATAAATACACAATGACAAAAAAGATATGGCTTTGTCATTTCCCTATGCTCGTACTCTCTCCCAAAATAAGTAAACAACAACAAAAAAGATATGGCTTTGTCATTTACTGACACTGTGAATTTGAATAGAGCACTTCTAATTCTCTTTTCTCTTATGTGAAATGGAGGTTAGAGTATCTGTCTTATATAAAAAATTTTAAAGGCCAAGTATGTTTTGAACTATAAAAGTCAAAAAACACCTACTAAATAATAATAATAACAACAACAATAAGAGCAATAGTAGTAAATGATGTTTCTACTTCTATGAAACTGAATTATAGCTGGGCCATTGGTTTGCCTTTATGAACAGGGAGTAGCTATTCACTGACTAAAGAAACGAATGTGAAATATTAAGAAATTAAGGCACAAAGTCCTTCATTAGCATAAATGTAGATTGAGATTTATTTTTTGCTGGTAGTATTTCACCAGCTGATGGCCTACACTTATTTTCCCAGTTAGGTTTAGATGTATCTGCTATGTAACCCTGTCTGATGTATCATTTTGGGTTCAGAGAAAGAGAACCACTAGGAATTAATTATATATGTAAAGCGTTTGTTAGAGGGATTTGATCTTATGTAATCATGGGAGCTGGTTAAATGGTCTTGGTAAATGATGATGTAGTTTGAAGACCACAGGGAAGGGAGCTGAGAAGGGAAGACAGGAAAGCAAGGACATACTGACATCCAGGAACACAAGCTGTGACCCACAAGGATGGACTCATTTCAGTTCTCACTGCCTCCAACGTGGATGAAATGGGTGTCCTTCAGGAGACGCTAGTACACTTCATCATTGTGGTAAACATATCTCTGGCACGGAGGTAAGAGCAGCCAAAAAAGGACACAGGCCAAGGTGCAGGAGGTGTGGCCAGGCTGCCGTTTCATGCCAACAAGGTGAGCCAGTAAGCAAGCAACACGTGTGAGATAAAAGTGCCTGCCCCAATAGTCCTGAGGTTTAAAAAAAAAAAAAAAAAAAGGCTGCTGCTTCACTTTTACCCTCCAAATCTCATGACAAATTGTCTCCTGTGGCCACTCAACTGGAAACATTCAAAGAGGGAAATTCTGGGAATAACAGTTTATCTGAGCCAAGCTGACAATGTTGCAAAACCACTGCAGTCCACCCCTGTGGGCTTGTCACCCATACACTTCTCTTTAAACAATACTTAATTCCCAAATGGAGACAATAACACAGTTATGCTTTTGTCTGACATGGTAGTAATATCCTGTATAACAAACATGATAGCTCTTCCCTGTAAGAGGATATAAAGTCCTTTTCTTTGTCTTTGGGAGATATTTATTGTTCTTCTGACTGACTCACACTCCCCTTTGGTATCCTATAACTTAAATATGGAGATATAAAATTAACTATTATTAACATGTCTTACATTAGATGGTAGAGATATGACACAGTGGAAAGAGTATACATAAACAGTGGTTTATGTAAACAAATATTCACGTAAGAAGAAGGAATTAATATTTATATCATAACTACTAAAGCACTCATTTCTGTAACTGGTAACTTGGTCATGGCTGGTATTTACCAAGTCAGTTGTTTCAGGATGAATGAAAACATGGTAAGACCAGTGAAATCATGAAGCAGACTTGCTTTGCTGTGAAGTGAGTTCATTAGTCACAAGTGATGCTGTGTGAAACACCGTGATTGTGGAAAGGCATTCTGTAAGACCACGGATAGTGGTTTTAGCAGAAACACTGGGAGCCAGGAAGGCAAATCTATATCTAAAGCAAATGTCTACTCCACTGAGAACACAGCACTGCCGTCTCCATGATGAAGAGGTCCAATATAATCAACTTGCTGGTCCTCTTGGGAATGTTGCCACAGAGAAGTTTCAGTGCTGTATCCAAATCCACCTTAGTGAGTAGAAATCCATGTTGTTGATACCAATGCATAACCTCTGCCTAGTAGCACCAGGCCCTTTGTTCACTAACCAGACTGGTGGTTCTGCTTCTCTGAACCCTAACTAATGAATCTGGTACAGGGGAACAAAATCTTAAGGGCAGGTTCTCAATTGGTTCTGGGTTACCTGAAATTGGGTCTCTCATCTTGCTTTTATAATAGAATTCTACATTTATATTTAAAACGTTGAAAGTACCTACACAAAATTGAATGAACTTTTTGATGACAAATACAAACAAGGGTATTCGGCTTGTACTTACTAAAGACTGAATCAACATGTTAAGACAACTTTTCTGAATCTCAGGAGGTACATTTGCAAAACTTCTCTCAGACCAAAACCTTGCAAAATGCTTTACAACCCACCTGTTAAAAAATAAAAGAATCCAAGTTAGAAAAATGAAAATATTTTGAATTATAATATTCAAACAATACTTTTATTTTCAGTGATATAAGTTGTACATATACATATGATGACTAACTCTTACCATTAATTTTGTGAACTCTATGATGGACTTAACTGTCCTCCTTTTTCTGTAAACATATATGTTAATTCTACTTTAAGTCCTATGCATAGCTTTTAACATAAATAACCATATTTCAGTTAAAATAAAATAGATGCCAAGCATCTTGAGTAATATCTAAGTCAATTAATACTTCTCAATTGTTACAACTAGTTAAACATTAAGTTGTGCAAAATGAACCCAAAAAAATAGGCCAATTCCAAATTTTCCCAGAAAATTAAGAGAATAGAACAATTATCTCTATATTAATAGCATTGACACTACTTCAAATCACTTACTTCATGCAGTCAGCAAAAAGACTGTCCACTCCAACTGAATGAGCAATAATCAGGCATTCTAATACAGACGCCAACGTTCTGGGAATAGGCTAAAATTGATAGAAAACACCACATGTATTCTTTTTCAACTCTCAGAGGCTAAAAGTATTTGGTTCATAAAGATGATGTGATTTATATACCTCAACTGCAGAAGAAATGTGCATAATTCAAAAGTCTGTTCTTTTAAAACAGAGTATCACTGACAACCTTTAGTTTTTAAATCTTGTTTATTCATTTTTGAGAGAGAGAGAGACAGAATGTGAATGGGGTAGGGGCAGAGAGAGAGGGAGACACAGAATCCAAAGCAGGCTCCAGGCTCTGAGCTGTCAACACAGAGCTTGACACAGGGCTCAATCCCACAAACTTCGAGACTATGACCTGAGCCAAAGTTGGACACTTAACCAACTGAGCCACCCAGGCACCCCGACAACCTTTAGTTTTCTAGAATAGCATTTGCGCTCTCTTAGCTGCCAGAATAAACACAAGTTTTATTTTAATTACATTTAGCTTATTTTTTAAAGAAAAATAGTATAACTTCTGGCATATCACATTGCAATGCAACCATATGATCTAATCTGCTTCCTAAAGTATATATATAACTCTAAGTGCATGTGCAATGGGAAGTGCTACTCTGACCTCAGACAAAATGATAGAAAGTAATTAGATAATACTTCTATAAAATCAATTTTTATATTAATTTTATATTTATATTTAATTTATATTAATTTTTTGTATTTTTAAAAGCTCATATATGGAAGTAACTAAGTAAAACAAAAAAAAAAGTAGATATAAGTAGTGACAACAACTCATTGCTCTTGATGTTAAGCCTCCTTGCTACATATTGCCCATATCACTTATTTTCAGGTTTTGGATTATTCCCTAAGCATATCTATTGCCTATTAGGGTGAACAGAGTTCAACTTCTCTTTGTATACATTCATTTGTTGTAATGTGGGGTTTATATACTTAATAAAGATCATCAATCAGCCAATTTGTGCATGTGGTCTCTAAGTTTAACTTTCTGATTCCCTTGCTCTCAGAAGAGCAAAAGCTTCTTTAGAATTACATCCAGGGTAGTCTTTCTAATAAGGTCAGTGATTTGCAACTTCTAAAATTATGAACTGCTATTAATTTGAGTTTCTAATACACTTCTCCTAAAAGTACTACATCAGTGTTCAATAAATTGAATGTAAATATTTTGCTTTGCATATTAAAAAACTGGTTATTCCTCTTGCATTAACTGGAGGTACTCTAGGCTATTCTAAAGTCAAAAATGCTCAGCTGATTAAGCATATGTCTCTTGATTTCAGCTCAGATCATGATTTAATGGTTTGTGAGTCAAGCCCCACACTGGGCTCTGTGCCAATGGTGTGGAGCCTGCTTGAGATTCTGTATCTCCATCTCTCTGCCCCTCCCCAGCTTGTGGGCTCTCTCTCTCACAATAATAAAAAAAGAAGTAAAACAAATAAAATAAAAAATGGCTATTACTATATAGATTAGACAGCGATAATTCTACTAAGTTAAATAATTTGCTTTTCTGAACCACTTCAGACAAGAGTATCAAACTTCTGGAAAGAAACTACTGGTATAAACATAAAAACACTCAGAAGTCTTAAAAATTATAAAAGTAAACATAAGAGTTAAAAAGTCCAGGAATCTGGGGTGTCAGGGTAGCTCATTTTGTTTAGCATCCAACTCTTAATTTAGGCTCATGTCATGATCCCAGGGTTGTGCGATAAAGCCGTGTATCAGTGTGGACCCAGCTTAAGATTCTCTCTCTCCCTTTGCCCCCCTCCCTAGCTCATGCTCTCTCTTTCTAAAATAAAAATACAAAAGTAAAAAATTTAAAGATTCTCTCTCCTTCCTTTGCTCTCTCAAAAAAAAAAAAAGAAAAGAAAAGAAAAGAAAGGAAAAGAAAAGAAAAGAAAAGAAAAAGGTCCAGCAATTTAATTTAGGAATAACCAGTTCTTTACAACACAAAGTCCATTAATTGATGTATAAGAATAACTTCCAGGGGTGCGTGGGTGGCTCAGTCGGTTAAGCATCCGACTTCGGCTCAGGTCATGATCTCGCGGTTCATGGGTTTGAGCCCCACATCGGGCTCTGTGCTGACAGCCAGCTCAGAGCCTGGAGCCTGTTTCGGATTCTATATCCTCCCCTCTCTCTGACCCTCCCCTGCTCACGCTGTCTCTCTCTCTCAGAAATAAATAAAACATTAAAAAAAAAGAATAATTTCCATAAAAAATATTAAGATACAAAGTAACTTGCTGCTTAAAGCAGAGACTAATGAACTATAGTTGTGGGCCAATCTAGCCCACCACTGTTTTTGTGAATAAAGTTTTATTGCAATACTGCTATGATGTTCCTTTACATGTTGTCTATAGTTGCTTTTGTTCCACAACAGCAGAGCTGAATAGCTGTGACAGAGAAGAGCCCATAAAGCCTACACTATTTGCTGTCTGGCCTTTTACAGAAAAGGTTTACTGACCACTGGCTTAAAAGGTTACTTTAACTCTGAGAATTTCACCTATATAAAAATGCTAATTCTCAAGTATTTTGTAACAGGATGACTGACCTTTAGTCATTTTCAAAACCTGCTTGCAGAATTTGGGAAGAGATATATTTAAATCACTACCTAAGTTATGCTTTTAAAGATGTGGCAAAAAAGGGGCACCTAGGTGGCTCAGTCGGTTAAGCATTTGGCTCTTAGTTTCAGCTAATGTCATGATCTCACGGAGTTCAAGGTCCACATCCGGCTCTGCGATGGCACTGTGGAGCCTGCTTGGAATTCTCTCTCTCTCTCTCTCTCTCTCTCTCTCTGCCCCTTTTCTATGCACACGGTCTCTCTCAAAAATAAATAAACCTGAAAAAAAAAAGAAGCACTGAAAAATATATAATGTAAACCTCATTGTAATTGTATAAATGAAGTCCAAAATTTTTAATTGTGTAAAAGGTAAAATTGTGAAGTTAATGAAATGACTAATGCTTGTCAGGTGTTTCAGGGCCAGTTACCCATTATTTTATATCAAAATTTGTATTACTGTGCAATGTGTTACAATAGGCTTACCTTATGTAAGAAACTGGCAAGAAACTACACAATTGAGATCTAAAAGTTAAATTTTTTTAATGCTTATTTATTTTGAGAGAGAGAGACAGAACATAAGCAGGGAAGGGGCAGAGAGAGAGGGAGACAGAGAATCTGAAGCAGGCTCCAGGCTCTGAGCTGTTAGCACAGCTAACATTGACACATGGTCAGTGAGACCATGACTTGAGCCAGTCAGATGCTTAACTAACTGAGTCACCCAGGTGCCCCTGAGATCTAGAAGTTAAAATTATATTTTCAGACATATATTTGTAAAGTTATACATTATAGAAATATGTAAAGCAAAAGTTTAAAGATCAAGCAATAAAAACAAAAATTATTCTCTCAAATGTGTTACCACAATAATAGATATTAAAACAAGTAAAATAAAGTAAAAAAAGTTTTCAACAAAGTACCATATTAATAATCTATTTAAAATTACATTTTATGTTGTTTTAATGTTAACAAATATGCCTTTTGTGTTTTATAAATTAAGGGAATTATTGAAAGTAAAATGTAAGAAGCTGCATATAACCTATGTATACTTATACTAAAAACGAGAGGCAATGGTCCAAAGACTGTCCATAAAAGAGATTATTTTTAAAATGATAGCTGTCTGAAAACATATATCTGTCGTTCTCTGAGTTATTTCACTCAGCATAATACCTTCCAGTTCCATCCACGTTGTTGCAAATGCCATGATTTCATTCTTTCTCATTGCCAAGTGGTATTCCATTGTATATATAAACCACATATGTTTTCACTCATATGCGGATCTTGAGAAACTTAACAGAAGACCATGGGGGATGGGAAGGGGAAAAAAAAATAGTTACAAACAGAGAGGGAGGGAGGCAAAACACAAGAGACTCTTAAATACAGAGAACAAACAGGGTGGATGGGGTTGGGGGGAGAGGGAAAATGGGTGATGGGCATTGCGGAGGGCACTTGGGATGAGTAGTAGGTGTTGTATGTAAATCAATTTGACAATAAATCATATTTAAAAAATAAAATAATAAATAATAAAAAGAAAAATAAATAAATTAAAAAAATGTTAGATGTAATTGATGTCTTGAGGAGTCTCAGTTCAGAGGAGATACTAACATAAAACTGTTTTTCCAGATAGTGCTGCCAACTATGCTGTGTCAATTTCTCCTTCTTTCCATCCCTTCATGACATTATAGGTAAATTCCAGTATTTTCTTTTATTTTTCTGGTATTGAAATCAGCACAGTACTGTTTAAACACCTATCTTACATCTAGCCTTACATCTTCCTCTCCCCCATCACTGGTTACAGTTATAGTTGCGGAGATATGGAATCGGGAGTAGAGCATGGTCTGGTCTCGTCCTGCTCCTCCATTTTCTTGGTCTAACTTCAGTGGCAGAGGGCTATGGATGGCCATATAAATAACCAGACACAGCATGGAAGTAGGTTGATGTCACTGAGTTTGCTCTAATTAAGATGTTGATGGCCTTTGCTGATGAGTCTTTTAGGAGCAGACTACATGTCACCCTAGCGTTTCAGTAGATAAAGATTCATGATGCACAGTGCTAGCATCATTTGGCCCTATACCAGCAACCTCTAATCTTCATAGAACCACTAAGGTCCTCTTCCCTCCCTGCGTACCAGGTGTAACTGGGGTGTGGAGTGGACTCCCTATACTTTTTTCTTTTCTTTTCTTTTTTAAAGATTTTATTTTTAAGCAATCTCTACACCCAATGTGGGGCTTGAATTCACAACACCAAGATCAGTAGTCGCACAGTCTACCAACTGAGCCCACCAGGTGCGCCCTTACTCTTTTCTATACATGACAAAAGCTATTGTCCTTAGTCACCAAACTAGTACTGGCTTCTCCCTTTAAAAATCTCCACATTTAAGGGTACTCTCACTGGTTTCTGAGGCATATTCCCAGGTTCTCCCAAGAAATCTCTTACATTTTCTTTTACTCTTTAATGGAAGCTCCAGAGTGGGCTGGTTTTATAGATGTGGCATATGAGGATAAGACATATCTCCTCATTTACAGATACCTTCTATCTTTATTTTTTATCAGGTATGCTTGGATCTCTTTCCTAACTTTCACTTGGCTGGGAAGATGAGGGAAGCAGATGAAAGAGAAGAAAATTCTTTCATCAGAATTCTTCACTTTCTACAAAGTTGAGGATACCACAGACTGCCCTCCTTCTTCTAGTTTCCTTACTTCTAGAGGCTGAAATAAATGATTGATTAAACATAGCTGAGAAGTTTGACATTTCTCATTAAACGCTGGGTGGCAGTGGTGGTGGTGCTATATGCAATTGTTCATGGCTCTCTTAGTACATGGGGTGCTTCTTCAGTTACAACTTATATAGAGGTAGGGAAGTCCTACCCAACACAAAAACATAAAATTTAAGTGTTATTTAAATTATTAAAATTACCTAATTAAAATCCATACAATGCATACTATTGCCTCAGGTACCCAATAAGAAGGGAATATTGATGTAAAACAATTATTTTAAGATTTGTTTTTTTGTTGATTATAAAAGTAATACATGACCACTGTAGAGAATCTGGAAAATGAAAAATAAGTAAATAAAAAATAACCTATAGTCATAGAGTAAATTAAAACAATGGAGAATCTAAGAATAATGTATAAAATGGCATTTGTAAAAATGTCTAGTAGTAGATCTTCTTTAGACAATAAACTTACGTTTATATAAACTAAACTTAAAAGTTAGTGTTTATACTCCACCTGCTGAGAAAAGAAATATATTCCATCCCAAGTAGATGCTATAAAGAAGCGTGACAGGAAGGAAGAGTGTACTTTCAGGGAAAAGAACCAATGAAACATTTGTGATAAATGTAGTTTTTTTCTTTACACTTATTTATTTTGAGAAAGAGAGAGTGAGAACGCATGCACGCAAGCAGGGGAGGACAGGGAGCCAGGGAGAGAGAGAATCCCAGGCAGGCTCCACCATGTCAGTGCAGAGCCCAATGTAGGGCTTGATCTCACAAACTGAGATCATGATCTGAACCAAGATTAAGAGTTGGACGCTTAATTGACTGAGACACCCAGATGACACTCTGATAAATGTGTTTTGTTAATGGAGAAGGTAACTATGGTTGCTGACTTCATTTCTCTTAGCTCTAAACCCTGACTCAGTCCCAGATGCACACCCTACTTTTGAATTATAAAGGATACGCCTATATCCTTTCAATAAACTCCATGTCTATTTTATTTTACTTAAATGATTGGAATTAATTTGTTTTTTTGCAAGCATATCATATGAGAGTTCCTGTTAATTAAATTGACAGTATTCTTAAGATTCAAAGCACTATTCACTATCAGAGTTAAAAATCTAGTAGGTAATAATGGGTGACTTTAAGTGCTGGGTAAAAGATTTCTGAGACTCAATAATTACCTTCTGAAAGAAATTACAGTAATCTCTTCTTAAAATATAGATTGCTACTTCTTTTAATCCTTCTAGTCCATACATATCAGCCATATTGAGTATCTGACTAAAATAAAAATAGACTGTTAATTCTCCAATTGAAAAACCAAGGACTAATACACAGTAATGTACTAATAATTATAGCCTGTTTAAAAAAATAATAACCTGAATTATTTTAACTCTTTCTGTTCTCCATACTAGATATCCTTTATGGATAACAAAAAGGACACAGGTCAAAGGTTGAAAGCACTGTCACATGACTTGGCTAGTGGAGAATAACATGAAGTAAATTTGGAGATGTTTAAATTACCCTCATATTCTGAGTCACATATTTAGCAAAGTCCAAGAATCTGCTTCAAAGGCTGTAAAAGTTATAAAACTCTTTGCAACAAATCTGTATAATAAAAACTTGGGAACAGTGCAATTAATTGATGCTTATCATATTGAAAATACTTACAAATGAATCTAAGATTGAAAACAGTATCCAATGCCTCAGTAAATTTCCATTGCTTCTTTCATTTGGCAAGAATTTCCAAGCACCACACTTACATTAGGTACTTAGAAAATCTACAAGCCTTGAGAGCATGATACAATTTCCTATAGGTTTCCAGGGGAAGAAGCTTCAGTACTTAATCCCTCTGACTCATGACACTTTCCCCCCAAAATCACACTTATTCAGTTTGTAATTTAAAAAACCAATGACTATTTAAATTAAAAAGCAGCCTTCATTTGTTTGGTATTAAAACAGCAATAAAAGAAGACATCCAAAAATTAGAAGAGCAAGGTAGATTTTATTCTCTACTATGATTTCAGCGCTTAGATGGCATTTCACTGAAGAGCACTTAAGAACCATTGTTATTCTTTAGGATGTCTATATTCCTAAAGTAATTTTAAGGTTTTTCTTTTTCCTTTTCTTTTGCTGTTTAAAAGAGTAATTCTAAAATTTGAAAATAAAGTAGTAAAATAAGTGTTCAAAATTTGATAAAGATTCCATTTTACTTTATAAAAACTTGTCTTTTATTTTCGAAAACAGATATAAGGTCTTTCTAACAAAATTTGAGTCAAATGAAGACTTTTCTTAATTTTATTACTGTGAGTTGCTAGATCATCTTTTCTTCTAAGTAAGACAACTTACTGTTTTTAGATATTCCCTAAATACACATGATATAGCAAAATAATGAAACTGAAACTTCTACTTCCTTGACACTTTGAAACAAAGCTCAGTAAAGAAAAAACAAAACAAAACAAAAAAAGCCCCCAAAGCTCAATAAAGCAGACACCACAAAGTATCAATACTTTTATATTTAAAATGATTAAAAAATAATACATACCCAACATTAGCTTTGTCTGGAAAGTCCAAAGTTCCTCCATATATAAAATACATCATTACATTCATTTCTACATGGTTTATACTGAAATATAAAAGAAAACCAAATTCAAATCCAGAAATAATTAAGGTGTAACTTATATCAATGATACATTCTATTGTCTCATAAAATTTTAGCTAAAATAAAGTTTTAATCTCACTTTTATCTGAAGAATATATTCTTCAAGTAACATCCATACAGTTATTCCATTAATTTAAAATGAAGCAGCTATAGATTTTTATATGTTATAAAATATTATTAGTATGTTATTCAAATCACTAATTATTTGTTAAGCATCTTCTATAATGAACTTTTAGAGTCAGAAGGGATCTGAGAGGTCACAGCCCAACCTCTGGCCTATTAGGAAATCCTCTCCTCAGCATCACTGACAAATGGCCTCTGGTCTTCTTAAAGCCTCTGATGAACAACTCTATTCACTAAAAAGATCTTGTTATGCTGCACAGATTTCTTAATTTGTAATACCTATACAGCATCTCTAGCTTGACCAACATCCTCATTACACAGATGAAAAGATGCAACCTAAAGAAGTAGTCTGGAGTGGTAACTTCTATGTCCTACTGACTACTGGATCCCAAACTGAGTTCATGGGCTCCTTCCTCTTCCCCACCTCTCCTAGTACCCCAGATTCAGTCTTTTTTCTGCTGTTCCTATTTTGTTCATAGCACTGTTATAGGGCTTCTTGCATCTGGTTCATGGACAACAACCACTGGTCAATGGTCCAGAGGAACCCAAGATGAGAGGTAATGTGATTTCTGTTTTTCCTTTCTTCTCTGCTGAATGAGTTTGAAGCTGGATTGGAAAAAGTACCTCTGCTATCCAATTTCAGACTTTCTTTCAAGTGGGTTGTCAAAGAAGAGACACAGTAAGCAAGTCAACTTTGGCTCTTACCTTAACACACATTTTTCTGCTTTAAGAGTTTTTATCAATAATAAAGAAAATGTTTTCTTCAACTATTGACTCTTTCATATTATTCTGAACAGGAAGAAGTACATAATTTATTGCCTCTCCAAAAACCTCTCAGCATCTACATTATCATCTAGATACCTAAATTAGAGCATGAGCTTCATCTTAATCCTCTATGCAGTGGAATCAGGGTGGGAACAGTGCTGATAAGACTCCCATCATTTGTTAAGCATAGTATCTAATATCTGCTAAAAGTAAGAAAAAAGGAAAGAAAAGAAAAGAAATGGAGTTCCACAGAACAGGACTCAGAAAGGTGCTTGATTCTTTTTTTTTTTTTTACGTTTAATTTATTTCTAGGAGAGAGAGAGAGACAGCGTGAGCAGGGGAAGGTCAGAGAGAGAGGGAGTCACAGACTGAAACAGGCTCCAGGCTCTGAGCTGGCAGTCAGCACAGAGCCCAACGCGGGGCTCGAACCCACGAACCGCGAGATCATGACCTAAGTGAAAGTCGGACGCTTAACCGACTAAGCCACCCAGGCGCCCCGAAAGGTGCTTTATTCTATGGTCTTATACAACATATGCTCAAGACATATTTGAAGAATGTTTAATGAATGGCTTACTAGGGCACTTCTAGCATTGCCCTAAACCCTTCTGAGGAATACTGAGTTGAAAATATAGAAGTATTTTTAAATTCATTTAATACATATTTACTGGCCCCCTACTATGGCTAAGTACTGGTGTCTGGTGATTCAAAAACTCCACATCTTTAATACTTAGGAAAAAAAGTCAAATCCATATATACTATGGATATGGTAAGATTTGATCTCAGAATAATCATGTCATATTATCTACAGTCTGCTAATCTAAAACACTAGCATAATTACTAGGTATACTAGTCCATGCACTTTCTATTAAAATTTCAGGAGCCATTCTTATTACTGTTAATGAGGATTCGTCATTTGTGGTTAAATAATAGTTTCTTTCCAGACCTGACTTTTTAAGCAAAAGATAATAATGAATAAATAAAAACAATAGTTTTATTAAACTAAATAGCAACATCCACACATTTGGGCCTATATATCAATATATAATTATAAAAGCAGCAAGAAAGCATTTTCCCTCCATTTTACGGATGTTTTCTTAAACTGCATTCTCATTACAGTGTTGTAACTCATTTGTATTTTGTATTTATAAAAACATGATCAAATGACCTAGAAAAACAACAAATCATCATTTTGATAGACCACAGTTTAAATGGAAAGATTGAAACCACTATCTCTCTTTAAATGTTATCAGAATAAAAGCTTTTAGAAGATGAAAACATTACATATATTCAGTGAAGAAAGCCCTATGAGAGGACAGAGCTCTAAGATCAGAGAATAAACATACACCTAGTCTACTAAAATCTCTGTGCTTTATATGTGCTTCCTAAAGTTTTAGGGTCTTGTGTACATGGACTAAGGTAACATAGGAACTCATTCATTCATTCGTTCATTCACATTCAATTGTTTACTGAATAATAGGCTCTATTCTAGACCTTAAGGATACAAGAAGCTTTCATTCTAGAGGGAGGACAGGGGCAGTAAATATGTAAACAAATATATATAAAGAACATACTTTTAACAGTAAAAAGTGCCATGAAAACAACACAACACATAATATTAAAGAGGGTAAATGGACAGGTGGGTTGTACTTTAGGTGGGATAGTCTGGAAAAACCCAGGGGCCAGATCATAGAGGGTCTTACAGGTTTGTGGTAAAGAGTTCATTTAATTCACACTGCGATGAGAAGGCACAGAGCAATTTTAGTCAGAAGAGATATACATATATCTAATTTACATTTCAAAAGATCATTCTGAAAATTTAGTGTAATCCCAGGAATCTCTCAAGGGAGATGAGAAAATCCAGATTTATGTTCCAAAGCCCCAAGCTACCAATGTAAGACTTCTATTTATATAAAAATGGAAATATGTGCAGTTATAGAAATACTGGCTGTGGTTCAATTTCCAGTATAGGATGTGGAAAATTTTCCCCTTTGTCCACGAAAACTGGAGAACTTCCACCTTTCAACACTGGGGCACAGGTAGAGCTAAGATTACAGGACTCTACTATTCCTACCTCAATTTACTGAAGGCTGTCCCTCTTGAAAAATATCATGTGCATTATAGGTCTATGAGTTACCAACTCATTAAAAACTGTAATTCTTTTCTGTGAGAACAGACAGGATTTTCATTCTAATCTACTGCAGAAAACATCCTGCAGACATCCAACAGTGGCACAGTTCCAAAAAAGGCTGCTGATCAAGCAAAAGCAGGCATTGCTGTCCTGGTATTAGTAATGGCCCTTACTTGAACCCATTTCTCTCTAGAAAATGAGAACAATCTAATCAAGGGAAAAAAGAAAAGACAAATATTAATAAGCACTATATATTACATACCAAGTACTATATCTCATTTAATCCTATATCCTCATTTAAACCACTTCAGGAAACTCTGGGAAGGTAAACAATGTCCCTAAAGTCATGTAACAAGTTAGGACTAGACACTGGACTGCCTATACTGACACCAAAGTCCGTGGTCTTTTTACTATACGACATTACCCATGCAAACACCTACCAAAGTACACAATACAAGCTCATGTGAAAAAAGAATTTGTTTTGTAGATTACTTTATTATAATATAAAATTTTTTTAAAGGTGAGGTTTTATAAAAGTGGAGTTCCTAAATCCCTTTTAGCCTCAAAATTCATAAATTCCCTTTAGCTTTCCTATGGCTTTATATCCTACGATACTAACATCATTTTAGGTAGTAATTTGACACAGTCAATTTGATACGTGGTACAAGAGGGAAAAGCAAAATGTATTGTGTGATGATAATAAAGGATATGGATGAAACCCAGTATTTGTCAGGAGAAACTTTCTTCCTTCATTTTAGTGTTAGAAAAACTTGCTTTACCAAACAAGATAAAACAGTTGAGCCAAAAAGAAATGTATCCTTATTTCCAATGTGAGATTTCCAGCAGTAAGTCACCGCTGCTGATCTAGTAGCTATAGGAAAAGTGAACCAGTGAGGAAAAGAGCCTTGCTTATCACAATCGAAGTGATAGGAAAATACTGTAAGGGGAGTGAGCCTCATCACTGCTGTCACTACTACAACATACTTTTTATTTTAATGACATTTTCTTTAGTATAGCTGACACACATCTTACTTAAGTTTCAAGAATACAACACAGTGATTCAACAACTGTATATGTTACACTATGCTCACGTCAAGTGTAGCTACCATGTGTCATCATGCAACACTATTATAATACCATTGGCTACATTCCCTATGCTGTACCTTTTATTCCTGTCACTTATTCTTTCTATAACTGGAAGCCTGTATCTCCTACTCCCCTTCACTCATTTTGCCCACTCCCACCCCCTCCACCTCTGTCAGTCATCAGTTCTCTGTATTTATGGGTCTGTTTCTGCCTTTTGTTTGTTTATTCATTTGTTTTGCTTTTTAGATTCCACATATAAGTGAAATCATATGATATCTGTCTCTGATGACCATTCACCAACTTTAGTAGCTTGATCAAGGGAAAGCCAAATTAAACTCTGAAACAAGTTTGGCTACTTCTATTTGGCTTTCCCTTGAGCAAGCTACTAAAGTTGGTCAGTGGTAGTCAGGCCATATTATAACGGGAGATATTCATCTATCCCATCCATCATAATCAAGTATAGAAAATTACAGATAAGAGAGTAGAGACCAGTAATTGATGCTACTACTTTCTTCTTATCTACTAACCTCTTAATAAATAAACTTCATCTTTAAAAGCCTATATGTTTTGAATGTTTAATCTGATCTCTCATGAGGGCTGATTAAGGACTGCCTTTATTCCTATAGCTAAACTCAGAGGTCATCTTAAACAATATAAAAGAGATAAAAGCAGAGCAGTTCTGGCTGAAGGGGCAGCCCTTCCCATATAGTTTTCCCCTCAGATCCCAATCCCCTGCCATGTGTTTCCTAACATACTACCAAGAACTTTAGGGTCCTATGGAATAAAACTTGAAAATCAGGGATTTAAACAGTGGAGAAGAGCACGCATTAGCTCAAGAATACATACCAATGGGAAACTTGGTATGTATAACTCAAATTCTTTAGTGACTGTGGTGGAATGGACACTGAATTACTTATCAAAAACCATGTGATTTATATTCAGCATAAGCACTTATTTACCAGGTGACTCCAGGAAGACATTTAACTTAACTGATCTTGTTTTTACTCATCTGCTATATACGAATTCACCTGCTCTCTCAAAGACTGATTCTAAAAATCAAAGGGCATAGTAAATGTGGAAGAAGCCCAGAAAAAACATGTCCCTCCTGAGGACAAATCTACTTGGGAAAGGAAGAAAGAGCTACATAATAGATATCAGATAGTAAAAACTGTCACTAAACCTACAAAGAACTAAGATTTCTTCTAAGAAAAAATGAGACATGTGCTTTCTGCAAATTACTTTCCCCTGCTGCAGAATGAGATCTCTTAATCACTCTTCTTTTGACTTTTTCACAGAATCATGGGATTTTTTGTGAATGTCTAAAGTTGCACTTTGATTCAAACTAGTGTTATCTCTCCATTTAAATTCTTTTTAATTCATTTCTAAGGGGAGTGGATTGATAGCTTTTTAAAATGATGTCTAAAATATCTAAAAGTTTCCAAAATTACACCAATATAATTATCCCTAGGATTGGCACACTTAGAAAGACCCTAGCCTCTACTAGCACTATTTATTCAGCAGACATTTTAAATTCATCATAAAGGAAAATATCTTATCAGTAGGATACATACACCTTTCAGATTGTTTTTCAATAGTGATAACAGAATTTCAAGAATTTCACCAACTGCTCCATCTATACATCCCTTTTATACAGGATAATGAACTCTTCAGCTTGGCATATAAAACCTTCCATAATCAGAAACTACCTGGTTGTCAGGGGCAGGGGGAAGGAGGATGGGTAAAATGGGTGAAGGTGGTCAAAAGGTACAAATTTCTAGTTATGAGATAAATAAATGCTAGGGATATAATTTACAGCATGGTGACTACAGTTAAAAATACTATATTGTATATATGAAAGTTGCTAAGAAAGTAGATCTTAATATTCCTCATCACAAGAAAAATATAACTATATGAGGTGATAGATATCAACTACATTTATTGAGGTAATCATTTTGTAATATATACATACATCAAATCATGTTGTACAACTAAAACTAACACAGTATTTTTTATAAATTATATCTCAATTAAAATTTCTAAAAAAAGTTAAAAGAGCAGTTCAGATGAAAAATAGGGAAACAGGGTTACTTAGATGTAAACATTATTTTTTTAATATCACCAAAGCAATTCATGTTATGTTTTAATGCTGTATTAGTGAGAGACAGGAAAAACAGAAGAAAACAAATCTGCCATGTATAAGTATTTTATGCATGTGGAAGACAAATTAGAGAAGACCTTTATTTTAGTAGCAATAGTAAGTAAAACGGTGGTGATTATATGTGAGTTTACATCCTCCATTATTTTCTTTATTACTATTTCATTAGTGTTTTTTATCAGTTTAAAAAACACACTGGAATAAAGGAATTCATAAAATTTCATATCATTGAAGTCACTAACGGTGACAGCTACTGAAGCTACATCCAAAAGATAGGCTGCAAAATACACTGTGATATATGTATTGAAACTGTGGTAGTATGAAGAAAACATAATCTTCAAAAGGCCCTAGATGAAGAAAATGGGGGTAGAACCTTTTGCATGTGTTTCATTTGTATTAAATGAATAAAATATGAAAAAAAAAATCCCACATTATATATTCTTACAAGTCATGTTTCAAAATTCCACTTCTTACAGAGTGAAAATTTACAAAATGATAGGCATTTGGAGATCTGTTCTAGTTAGTAAGAGAACCAGATGATTATAACCAAGAAGATCCAAGATTATAGGTTAGGGTGACAAACAAATGGTTAAGAATTTATCGATAATTTCCATGCAACCATTGTCATGGAATTGCCACTATCACTATTTCATACCCAAGATTCTGGCCAAGATGCAGAGGTGAGAGGTTCCCTCAGAACTTCCAGGCAATTTTCCTACCCAGAAAACCCTCTCCCATACTGTATACTACAGACTCTCACAGTGATTATCTGTGACCAAGGGTCCTGTTCGGGGTGCCTGGGTAGTTTAGTCAGTTAAGCGTCTGACCTCGGCTCAGGTCATAATCTCGCAGTTTATGGGTTAGAGCCCCACATCGGGCTCGGTGCTGACAGCTCAGAGCCTGAAGTCTGCTTTGGATTCTATGTCTCCCTCTTTCTTTGCCCCTCCCCTACGCACTCTCTCTCTCTTTCAAAAATGAATAAACATTAAAAAAAGAAAGGGTCCTTTTTATCATTTAAGGTACTAGTTTATCTCTTAATAACTACCTTAGCAGTTTATAAAAACTGCCACCAATTGTGTAGATTCAGATCTACCTCTGACAGATCAACAAAATCCACACCTATCCAAATTATTCTTCAAGCGAAAAAAAAGAAACTATCTTTTACATATTAAATATTTGTGTTTCCCTACCCACCAAATTCATATACTGAGCCCTAACTCCACAATGTGGCTATATTTGGAGACAGGGGTTATAAGGAATTAAGGTTAAATTAGGTAATAAGGTGGAGCCCTGCCCTGAGGTGCTAAAATAGAAGAATCACCAGAGAGCTCTCTCTCTCTCTCCCTCTGCCTTCTTTTCACCTCCCCTTGCCCTCATGCACTAAGGGAAGGCCATTAAGCACACACACAGAACAAGCTGTCTGCAACCCAAGGTAAGAGCTCTCACAAACCTTGCTGGTACTCTGATCTTGCCATATTGTGAGAAAATAAATTTCTGTTGTTTAAGCCACTCAGTAGTGATATTTTGTTATAGCAGCCTGGGAAGACTAACATGCTATCTCTATTACTAAATGTTCCCTACTATCTTTCATTTTCAGAAGATGTACTTCACTGAATTCCATAACATGAGAAACATTTCATTGAATATATGGAGAAATCAGATTCATAAAAGTGTTTTGTATGAAGTATTATTTGCAGTTGAGCTGCCTTGTAAAAATTATGCTTACCCTTGAAGAGTAATAAACTTTTGGGAGCTTTCAGCCCAACAGCCACTGAGCATTGCCGCAAAATAACTGGATCTGGCACTTAAAATGGCTCTAAAGGAAAAGGGAGAAAAACACAGGTAAACATTTACGTATTATGCAAGATGTAATTTTCTTAAGAAATTCTTCATCTTTACCTCTTAAAACATGACAACAAGCTATGTGTCTTGTTTGTATTCACTGGAAGAATTATAACAATAATAAAAATTACAAACCTATATTTATACCTAAATATTTTGATTACTTAATTAGAACATTAATACCAATGTCCTGTTTATCTTTTTTTATTTTTCCTCTTCAAAGCTCTTTATAACAATTAAAACTATTTCCATGAATAAGATAGTAATAAATAATTTACAAATGGAGAAATAAAGATGTTATTTAACATTTTGAGGGAATATCAATAAAAAGGCACTAGAACCATAAAGGTCCTGAGTTCAAGTTCAGACCCACCCAATTATGCTAAAGAATAGCTATTATCTTAAGTATGAGAAATGACAGGGAAGGTATTTTTTTCTGAATTTCCACTCTATCTTTTCATAGAAAATGGCAATGTATTATTCATTCTTTAATTCGACAAGTATCTATTCACTTCTATTTTCTGCTAGGCAGTATACTAAGTGCTAGGAATACAGCAATAGATGAGATACAGAGAACAATGTTATATTCTAATGGAGAATGAGATGGAAGGGTGGAGGGGAACAAGAAGAAAAATATACTTCTGGCAATGGCTTACTAGGTTGTCTCAGACCAACAATCCTGAAAATAGCTAAGAAAAAAGGAAGATACATACAGATATAGACATTTACATAGATACAGATTTTGTTTAAGAAAGCAAGAATGATTTGAAGGCATCAGAAGGATACCATGGTCACAGATTTTGAGATAAGTTATAAAAAAGAAGACAAAAGAGGTGACCCAAGTATTTTAGGTAACTTTCCATTAAGGCAATTGCCAAATCTGAAAGAAAAAAAAAAAATGTTTAAGAGGTAAGAAGGTGAGTACATCTTCTGGCAATCTTTATAAGCTTGGAGGCATACAAGTGGAAATTCGGGTCAATCAAAGAGGGGAGGCTTTGGTGGATATCCCAAAATTTCAGTTGGATTCTGAAGGGCTATATCTTAAATGAAAATGAACAAGAAAGAGAAAAGCCCTTATTGACACTTAAGTTCAGCTTGGAATGTGCTCAATCCCAAACTGGATTAAAGTGACCTACATCTAGCCTAACATCTGGCCAGAAGCAGAAATAAATCCAGTCTTTGTTAAAATAACATCACTTGGAAGGTCAAATTATGTCTACAAATATTCAATAAAATTTCTAGCAATCATCAAAAGATAATCTGGTGTAATAGTGAACAACTAGAAAATGAAGGGAAAGAACTTCATTTACACTATTATCAAAAGAGGTCAACAGGAAAAAAATGTAACAAAAAAGTGAAAGACTTCCACATTAAAAGCTATAAAACATTGCTGAAATAAATTTTAAAAGATCTAAGAGAGGGCTAAACTATACTTATAATTTGAATACCCAGAATTGTTAACACATTCATTTTGCCTAAATTAATTTCTAAATTCAACACAATCTTAACCAAGTTTTTTAAGTGGCAATTGATAAGTTGATTTTAAAAGGTAGATGGAAATATAAAGGAACTACAATAGCAAAATAAGCATCAGAGAGAAGAACAAAGTTGGAAGACATGATTTTCAGACTTACTATAAAGTGACAGTAATCAAGATAATACGGTATTGATATAGGGATAGAAACACAGATTACTGGAACAGAAGTGAAAATCTAAAAACAGATCACACATATATGGCCAACTGCTTTTCAACAAAGGTGTTAAAGTAATTTGATGGGGTAAAGATAGTGTTATCAACAAAAGGTACTGGAATTGGAGACCTGAAGGGAAAGAAATGAACCTCGACAGTTAACCTCGCACCATAAACAAAAACCAACTCAAAATGAACCAAAACCTAAATATAAAAGCTAATGCTATAAAATCTCTAGAAGAGAAAAGATGAACATCTTTGCAACTTTGGGGTAGGCAAAGATTTCTTAGGGCAATAAAAAGCATGAACCAGTTTGTAAAAAAACATAAAATATAAAAATTTAACAAAATTAAAAACTTCAGTCCTTTAAAAATCACTTGCAGGAAAATGGAAAGACAAGCAAAATGTTCAGAGAAAATATGTGTAAAACATATATCTGCCAAATAATTTGAATCCAGAGTATAGACGGAACTATCACAACTCAATACAAGCACATAAATAATCCAACTAATAAAAGGCATACACAAAAAAATTATCAGATATTAGTCAAATTGACAGAAGCAATCTTCCTTCAAAAACAAGTTTATAGCCAGTTGTATAATAAGATACCACATCAGGATTTGAGCATTAGATTAGGATTGAAAAAGCTATGGTCAGAACAGGACATGATTCATTTGAAGGGGGGGAAGATACATATTTGTTTCTCTATTGTTTACTTAAATTAAAATTTGTGCCAAATCACTTTCTTTAAGAGTGCTTTGAAAAAAAAAAGGGCGAAAGATGACCAGAAAAATCACAAGATATGCAAATGGCCAATAAGCTTATGAAATGATAGTCAACATTACTACTGATTAGGGGAATGCAAAATAAAGCCACAATGTGATACCACTATACATCTACTAGAGTGGCAAAAATTAAAAAGACTGACAAACGTCAAGTGGTGTTGAAGATGTGGAACAACTAGAACACTTAATAGCATGTAATAAAATGGCACAACCTCTTTGAACAAATGTTTGTCAACTTCACAAAAAGTTAACACTCACTTACCATAAAACTCAGCAATTATCCCTAGGAATTTACCCAAGAGAAATGAAAATATGTATTTACACAAAGTTTTGCACAGAAAAACCACCTTCTTTAAAGTAAAAGCTAAATGCAAGAAACAATATATTCAAAAACAGGAGAAAGAGCCAACTGTGGTATATCCATACATATTGCAATACTGTTCACCAATAAAAACTGAATAAAATACTGATATGCATAATATTCAAGGATAAAGCTCAAAAACATCATCCTGAGCAAATGAAGCCAGACACAGTATGTCTGAGTTCATTTACATGAAATTCTAAGACAGGTAATATAACCTATGATTTAAAAAACACAAAAATAGGAAAAGAACCCAATTTAAAAATGAACAAAAATATGAACACAAGGTACCAAAGAAGATATACGCATGGCAAATAAGCATATGAAACTCAATTTGTGGGGCTAGGGAGAGGGGAGGTAAAGGGACACAGGAGAACTTTTGGGTGATGAAACTTCTCTATCTTGATTGTGCTGGGAGTTCCACAGGTTTATACATTAATAACAACTCATCAGGACTTCCAGACAGATGGCAATGTACTAGGCTTCTATGCCCACCTCATCCCATGGATACAACTAGGTAAATACCCACATCAGTGTAATATCTCAGAAATGATACAAAAACTGGCAGAACAGTCTCTCCACAGCTAAAGGTAGAGAAGAGGCCACATTGAAAGGGTAGGAATGGCAGAGATGCTGTGAGAAGCCAAACAGATAGGTGGGATTGTCTGCAGTGGGAGGGACACCAGCAGTGCAGAGAGGGGCAGACCCCCACACCAGACACCCAGGTATGGGGGAACCTGCACAGAGAAGCCAATCTCCAAAAAATTTGGCTTTAAATATCAGAGAAGCCTAACAATCAGTGAGGCTTAACACCTGGAACTCTAAAAATTAGACTCAGCTCTGCAAGAGCCAGGAACACAGAATCCCTGCCCTTACAGAGAAAACAAAACAAACAACCCTGCTGAGATATAGCATAGAAGCACCAGTTTCAAAGACACCTGGGGTATACAGGAAGAGATTTATTTACTAAGCTCTGAGTATATGCCGGAGGCGCAGTGATCATTGGGAGACTTCTCCAATAACAAAAGAGGGTAGGTGCCATTTTTCTCCCCCACCCCCTAGTCTACATATATAGACACTTGTGAGAACCAGTGAAGCATGTACACTCTCTACCTTGCTTGTTAAGAGCATGTCCCACCCCACAAGTTCCCCTGGGGACCTATCTCCTTCATCCCAGCCTGCATAGGTGTTTTCCTAGGCAGCTGCAGGTCCTCTCCTGCAGCAGACTAGCTCAGACCCTCCTGACAAAGAGCATCCTACCTCCATATTCTCCTGCGAACATGCCCTCTACAATATGCCCTTGGCAGATCATCCAAAGCAGTGCACAGGCCTGGCAATGTGCAAGCAGCCCTATAAAGGGCCAGCACCACTCCAAAACAACCCCTGCCATCAGGGAGAGGAGAAGATAACCACACATACTGGTCCAACTCCAGCCCTAGCAGTGGGCTGGGGGCAAATATTGGGTCTGAGCGTGGGAGCCAACCACCAAAAAAAAAAGCTTCTCAGGAGACCACAGGAGGAAAGTGCCCTACAGTTCCATATAGTAGCATCTCTGGCAAATGCCTGGTCTGACTCAATCAAGTCCAAGGTAGCCCCAGACTGGCCCACTAAGAACACAAGGAGCAAGCCCTACCAACAATAGGCAAAGAGAGCCAACTGGACTGAAGCAGAAGTGGTTCAGCAATAACAATAGGTCACACATACACACACAAGAAACCCCACTAAGTGTGAGGTTCTGATGAACAGAGCACCGCACTGCAAAGCACTATAGAATCTCCTCTTCATAAGGCCACTACTTTGAAGACCAGGAGATGTAGATGACTTTCCTACTACATAGAAACAGACAGAGTTAGACAAAATGAAGAGAGAGAGGAATATGTCCCAAGTGAAAGAACAAGACAAAATTACAAGAGATCTAAATGAAATGGAGAATTTTAAGTAAGAGTCATAAAGATACTTACTGGATTTGAGAAAAGAGTGGAGGACCTCAGTTAGACTCTCAATAGAGAGATAGGAAACATAAAAAAGGACCAATCACAGATGAAGAACTCAGTAACTAAAAGTAGAAGTACATTAAAGAAAATAAATAGTAGTCTAGGGGAAGCAGAAAGGATGGAGACCTGGAGGAGAGAATAATG